TTCCAATCAGTTCCAACAGAGATACGCAGAGATCGAGAGGAAGATTAAATATCAATTATTGCTCTGTTGGCCAAGGAAGGGTGACAAGGGAAAGTTTCCCAAAACCAACATAATCCATATTTACAAGCATGGACATTTTATAGACATTTGAGAGCAGTGAATTCCTACGATTGGTGCAAATTATGATTCACAACCTTATTGGTTCCAAAGTCGATGTGTGGTTGCAGGGTTTGCAGTTTGTGGTTGTGTACAGTTTAGTAAGATGAATTATTGAATCCATCTCCTGTATTCATGCCTCCCTTTCTGCTTGAGGGTTGGCAGAGGGGCAAGTTTCCTTGATGGGACAATAGATGGCCATTCCATATTGATGGGTTTAACTTTTCCAAGGGAGAAGTCCATTGTGTTGTGCATGGGATCGGGACTTTAGCTGCAGCCTTCTTGGAATTAATCAATTGATGAGAAAGGAATGAGGAGCTGTCCGTGTAACTCTGAGTCATTCCTGTACTGCAGTAACTTTTGGGGATCCCCTTTCAGACAACACACGGAGAATCCTAGAAACAATCCCCAATGGATACCAAGGGCCAATATGGCAACAACAGTGACAACAACACAAATTAGCTCATCTTCAAAAATGATCATTACAAGAAGGTAACTCATTTGAGCTAGAGACAAATAGGGTGTTGAGATGGTGTTGTAAGTAAAATTTTAAGCTAACTAATGTGATACATTTGACAGTTCTTTTTAGGGAATGAGGAGCATTTTTTCTGTATTCTTGCTTAATTGTGCTGATTACTTGGCCTATAACAATTTGTTGGAGCCCCCAATGGCACAGTGGGTTAAACCTCTGTGTTGGCAGGACTAAAGACTGACAGGTCGCAGGTTCAAATCCGGGGAGAGCGTGGATGAGCTCCCTCTGTCAGCTCTGGCTCCCCATGCGGGGACATGAGAGAAGTCTCCCACAAGGATGGTAAAAACATCAAATCATCCTGGTGTCTCCTGGGCAACGTCCTTGCAGATGGCCCATTCTCTCTCACCAGAAGCGACTTGCAACTTCTCAAGTTGCTCCTGACATGGAAAAAAAATTGTATTTTATCCATATAGAAAGAACACAGGCAAGATGAAAACTGAGTACAGTAAAATACATAATTACAAGTCATATAAAGGAATGAATAATTTTAATGAGAGTAGCAGAACATTTTTGCTTTTATAGCTGAGGTCATATGAGGGGACCTCGTGCTCATTCTGAACGAAGAATCAAAGCACTTCACTGCGTTGTCCAACATTTATTCAGACTAGGGATTATAGCACTGCGTTTGAAATGTATCTAGACTAGACCTAAGATGTGCGAGCGTCTGATGGCTCATGGTAATAAGGATTTGAACTGAAAGAATAAGCAGGGTAAGCCTTCCAAGTTAGATGGGGGCTTTGATCTTCTATTGGAACATTGTTTTTAGACCAATTAAAGCTGGCAGTGTGTTTTTAGGTTCAATGCCTTCTAGATATTACTGCTTCATACGTGGAAGATGGAGCTAGCTTGGCCTAATGGTTTGACATTGGGCTACAGCTCTGGAGACCAGGGTTTGAACCTCATTATCTGATCAGATAATGCAGTTAGACACTGAGTTATATGGCAGTGTAGACGGGCACTGAGTGTGAGGTTTGTGAAACAGTTTTCATAGTTTGTGTCTAGTATGTATTAGTGTAGGTATGTTTTAAGTACGGGTGATTATTCAGATTTAGTTGTGTTCGATCTTGTAGTTTAAGCCTTATACCACATTTCATAGAATAACAGTCACCATTGCATAATAATTGCACCCTCTTCTGACATGATGGCAACAGTCTTGGACAGCAATGGCTCCCAAAGTGACCCATTTAAGGTGGAATCAGGTGTCAAACAGGGATGTGTTACTGCCCTACCCTTATTCTCCACCATCACCATGATACTTCATTTTGTTGATGGGAAGCTTCCCACCGGTTTTGGCAGACTGAAAGCCAAAACCAAGGTCACAAGATCTTATAGAACTCCAATATGCTGATGATAACGTAGTCTGTGTGCATTCAGAAGAAGACCTACAAGCTTCCCACCGGAGTGGAAATAATCTATTGGACAGATGGCAAGCCATTTAACCTCAGCAGACTGAAAGCCAAAGCCAAGGTCATAACAACATCTGTTATAGAACTCCAATATACTGTCTGTGCGCATTCAGAAGAAGACCTACAAGCCACTCTAAACACCTTTGGCGAAGCATACAAGAAGCTCGGCCTGTCATTGAAAATCGAGAAAACTAAAGTGCTCTTCCAGCAGTCACCAGCCAATCCTTCTGCAATGCCAAAAATACAGCTTAATGGTGTAACATTAGAAAACATGACCATTTCCGCTACCTTGGCAGCCACCTCTCCGCAAAAATCAACATTGACACTGAAATCCTACACTGCCTGAGCTCTGTGAGTGCAGCATTTTTCCGAATGAAGCAGAGAGTGTTTGAGGATCGGGACATCCATAGGGAGACCAAGGTGCTTGTTTATAAAGCTACTGTCTTCCCAACTTTACTATATGCTTATGAAACGTGGACTGTCTACAGATGTCTCACTCAACTCCTGGAACGATTCCATCAGTGTTGCCTCCAAAAAATCCTGCAAATCAAGTAATTTCATTACTGTGATGTATCCAGTTCTGGCAACAAATTTCATTACTCTTCTTGTAATAACCAATTTTTCACTAACTATATTTTAAAAACACTTTAGAAACGAAATGCCTGCCCCCTCCCAGTTTTGTAATGATGTCTGAACCATTTTGTTAATGGATTGCATATCCCTAGCACCTAGTGCAGTGTTTCTCAACCTGGGGGTCGGGGCCTCGAGGGGGTTGCGAGGTGGTTTCAGAGGGGTCGCCAAAGACCACCAGAAAACACATATTTCTGATAGTTTTGAAATCCCTTTGGTATAGTCACTTGGGTTCACAGTGCTCTCTGGATGTAGGTGAACTACATCTCCCCTAAATCACTGTAAATTCGTCCCAAATCCCTCCAGTATTTTCTGTTGGTCATGGGGATCTCTGTGTGGGAAGTTTGACCCAATTCTATTATTGGTGGGCAGGCATGTAGCTGGGGGGGGGGGGGGGGGGGCTTGGGGGCTTCAGCCCCCCCCCTCCCCCCAATTCTGATGGTGGTCCGCGAGAAGGCCTTACTGGTACATTATTTAAACTGTTATGTTTATTCATATCATGATCTGATCAACATGCTCAATATATCCATATGCATGGGGGTATTGGGGTAACGATACAAAAGGTTTGCTAGGGTAGACCCTCTTTCACTCAGACTCAGCCCCCCCCCCCCGGAATCAAACTCAGCTCCCCCCGAAACAAAATCCTGGCTACGGGCCTGTGGGTTCAGAATGCTCTTTGATTGTAGGTGAACTATAAATCCCAGCAACTACAACTCCCAAATGTCAAGGTCTATTTCCCCCAAATTCCTTCAATGTTAACATTTGGGCATATTGAGGATTCGTGCCAAGTTTGGTCCAGATCCATCATTGTTGGAGTCCACAGTGCTCTCTGGATGTAGGTGAACTATAGCTCCAAAACTCAAGGTCAATGCCCACCAAACCCTTCCAGTATTTCCTGTTGGTCATGGGAGTTCTGTGTACCAAGTTTGGTTCAATTCCATTGTCGGTGGAGTTAAGAATGCTCTTTGATTGTAGGTGAACTATAAGTTCCAGCAACTGCAACTCCCAAATGACAAAATCAAACACCCCCCCCCCCCCCCCCCCCAACTTCATCAGTACTGAAATTTGGCATATTGGGTATTTGTGCCAAATTTGATCCAGTGAATTAAAATCCATCCTGGATATCAGATATTTCCATTACAATTCATAACAACAGCAAAATTCCAGTTATGAAGTAGCAACGAAAATAATGTTATGGTTGGGAGTCACCACAACATGAGGAAGCGTATTAAGGGGTCGTGGCATCAGGAAGCTTGAGAACCACTAGTGCAGTGTTTCTCAACCTGGGGGTCGGGACCCCTGTGGGGGTCACGAGGGGGTGTCAGGGAGGTCACCAAAGACCATCAGAAAACATAGTATTTTCTGTTGGTCATGGGGGTTTTGTGTGGGAAGTTTGGTCCAATTCTATCATTGGTGGGATTCAGAATGCTATTTCATTGTGGGTGAACTATAAATCCCAACAACTACAACTCCCAAATGTCAAGGTCTATTTCCCCCAAACTCCACCAGTGTTCACATTTGGGCATATTGAGTATCTGTGCCAAGTTTGGTCCAGATCCACCATTGTTTGGTTCCACAGTGTTCTCTGGGTGAACTACAACTCCAAAAACTCAAGGTCAATGTCCACCAGACCCTCCCAGTATTTTCTCTTGGTCATGGGAATTCTGTGTGCCAAGTTTGATTAAATTCCATCATTGGTGGAGTTCAGAAGGCTCTTTCATTTTAGGTGAACTATAAATCCCAGCAACTCCAACATTCCAAATGACAAAATCAATCACTCCTATCCCACCAGTATTCAAATTTGGGCATATCAGGTATTTGGGATTTGAAAATACCTCCTGCATATCAGATATTTACATTATGATTCATAACAGTAGCAAAATTACAGTTATGAAGTAGCAACAAAAATAATGTTATGTTTGGGGGTCACCACAACATGAGGAACTGTACTAAGGGGTCACAGCATTAGGAAGGTTGAGAACCACTGCACTAGTGTAACTCAGCAGGCTCCCCTCCAAGTATGAACCAGGGCCGACCCTATTTAGCTTCCAAGATCAAACAAGGCATTTAGGACAAACTAAGCCCAGCTCCCCGCCCCTCCCCTTGAGACCTGCAGTGGGCAGGAGGCCCCGCCCCCTCTCCCCATTGGTCAGGAAAGCAAGCCAGGAGCTCGCGCCAGAGAGAGTGGGGGAAAGAGAAGGAGGGAAAGCGAGGGGCGGCTACTTTCGCTGTAATGGGCGGGGCGATGCTAATGAGGGGGCGTGGCTAGGGGCAACTCCTGGGGAACTGTTTTTGGCGCGCTCGTTGAGCGCGGGAAGGCGAGCCACCAACAAGGATCCTCCTCCACCTCATCCAAAGCCAGTTTCTTGCTCCCACCATCGCCCTCGCCGCCCGGCTCCAGTGAGTGGAAATTCCTTCTCGCCTTCTCATTTCCTCCTCTTCCCTTTTCTTTCCTCCTCCTTTTCTCCATAGAGGCTCTTGTGGGTTGTTGTGTGTGGTTCCAACTTCAGGAGACTCCCTGTTAAAGCTGTTATTGCTCATCAGAAAAGAGGTTTGAACCCAAGGTGCATCTGTACTACAGAATTAATGCATTTTGACACCACTTCGGCTGACATGGTTCAGTGCTATGGATTCCTGGGATTTATGGGATTTTTTTTTCAGTGCCTTGCAAAACTACAACTCCCATAATTCCATATCATTGAGCCGTAGCAGTTAAATGTAATATCACATTGCATTTAAAGTTTTAACATTTTATCTCATGACCTTTCTGTTTGATTTTATTATGTTATTTTGTACTGTTTGTTTTATTTTGTTACTTTATGTATTTTGTTTTTGATGTGATTTTTCTGTTGTTTTGTGTCTAACTTTTCTGTATTATTTTTGGGCTTGGCCTCATGTTAGCCGCCCCGAGTCCCCTTTGGGGAGACGGTGGCGGGGTATAAATAAATATTATTATTATTATTATTATTATTATTATTATTATTAATCTTGCAGTGTAGATTGCATCCTAGGAGGGACTAAGACCCCTTCCACACAGCTGAATAAAATCCAACATCTGCTTTGAACTGGAATATATGGCAGTGTGGACTTAATCTATTCAAAGCATTGTGGTTCATTCTGCCTTGATATTCTGGGAGGCCTTCCACACAGCCATATAACCCAGAATATCAAGGCATATAATGTTACAGTAAGTTGTAACAGGATCAAGTATGTATGTGTGTAAAGAAAGCCTTATACTGTTGATTATTGTGTTCAGCTGCTATTGTAGGTCAACTAGTAAGTTTGGACCACATCCGGTGGGGTATAACTGTATGGATTTTAGAATACAGTTCAGCTTTGCTCTGAGGAGCCTTTGCTCAGGCATTATGCTCAACCATTTGTATTGCTCTCTCATTTGGATGAAGCTGAAGAAGCCTTATTTTGTATTGCTTACAAGGACTATGTGAGTTTGTTGCACTGTTTGCTTTTTTTGTTTGCAACACTCAAGTTTTAACTCTGCTGATAAGAGTAAAGATATTCTGTTCATTTTCCTCTTGCCTGTGTGGATTGTTATTGTGTCTTCTGCATTGGACCTGACTGCAACCCGCTATGCGCAACAGATAATCCACAATATCTGCTTTGAACTGGATTATCTGAGTCCACATTGCTATAGCATCCATTTCAATGTGGATTTTATGCAACTGTGTGGAAGCTGCATCTACTCTGTAGAATTGATGCAGTTCAACATCACTTTAACAGTCCTGGCTCTTTGCTGTGGGATCCTGGAATTTGTAGTTTGGTGAAGCTGATCAGTAGCAAACAAGACTAAACACCATGTAAAAGCACAATTCATAGTCTTGAGCCCTGGCAGTCAAAGTGGTGTCAAACTGCATTAATTCCCCAGTGCAGATGCATCCCTAGTCCAATCCACAAACTACTACATCACCCCAGCAATCTTAAGGGTGCATCTACATTGCGGAATGGATGCAGTTTGACACCACTTCAACTGCCATGGTGAGTCAATGCTGTGAAATTTTGGAAACTGTAATTTTGCATGCTTTCTCTAGAAAAGGATGCTGGTGCCTCACCAAACGACAACTCCTGAGATTCAATAGCACTGAGACATGGCAGTTAAAGTGGTGTTGAACTGTATTCATTCTTTAGTGTAGCTGCACCCTTCCAAGCACCTCTCTTCAAAAGAAAAGAAAAGGGGGTGAGATGAGAATCAACTCCTGCTGGGAGCAAGACCTGCTCTCTCTGGGCACCTGCGGTCTGTCTATATGGATGAGAGAATGGCAAAGAACGTGCATTTTGACAGGACTCCCTGTTCTGCAGCCGTGACACATCCATTCATGAAGAAAGCACGTGGAAAGGGGGATGTCGGAAAAGGAAAAGGAGTTGCAAGACTCTTAACCCCCTCTGCGAATAATAACAATCAGAGGAATGGCTGATATTCATGGTCCTTCTTCCCAATGCACTCTTGCCAATGTCTTTGCTGTGAAATGCCATGTAGGGCAACTGCCCCCCTCCGGCCCAGAAGTCCTGTGCCATAAATAGCTGCATAGCAGGCAGATTTTCAACAAACATGCCTTCTCCTGTCATGAACTTATGTACTGGCAAAGCGGAGCACTTGATGAACCTTTTTCCATTGTGCAGCTCGTAAGAGAATCAGGAATCCTGCCAGGAGAAACGATCGCAAGCTTAGTAGTACCACATTCGGAGGAAGTAGGTTACGAAAGGTTATGCTACCAACTTTGTTCTCTCTGGGTGCATCTACACAGTGGAATTAATGCAGTTTGACATAGCGTCACCTGGCATGGCTCAATGTAATGGAATAGTGGGAGTTGTAGTTTTGTAAGTTCTTTTACCTTCTGTGCCAGAAGGGTTCTGGTGCTTCACTACAGCTCCCAGGATTCCATAGCTTTGAGCCATGACAAAGTGGTGTCATGATGCATTCATTCTACCATGAAGGTGTCAGAAATATTAAAAATTAACTGGGCATTTTTTACTACAAAAGTGTGAGTCAAGCACTGAAAGAAAAGGCCAAAGCCTGTTAGAGTCAGTAGGCCAAAGCTAGTGTGTCCTAAGGATCCAGGGAGAGTGCAGATGAGCTCCCTCTATCGACTCCATCTCTTCATGCGGGGACATGAGAGAAGCCTCCCACAGGGGTGGTAAAACATCACAACATCCAGGCATCCCCTGGGCAATGTCCTTGCAGACGGCCAATTCTCTCACACCAGAAGCGACTTGCAATTTCTCAAGTTGCTCCTTACATGACAAAAAAACATCTATAATAGTTTTCCAAAATCCATAGTCCATGTATGTCTTGATGGAGCATTAGCCATCCTATTAAAGTGGCTAATATCTAAATGCAGGTATCCATACATAGGTAAAGGTTTTCCCCTAACATTAAGTTCAGTCGTGTCCAACTCTGGGGGTTGGTGCTCATCTCTATTTCAAAGCCGAAGAGCCGGCGTTGTCCATACACACCTCCAAGGTCATATGGCCAGCATGACTACATGGAGCACTGTTATCTTCCCGCCAGAGTTGTACCTATTGATCTACTCATATTTGCATGTTTTCAAACTGCTAGGTTGGCAGAAGCTGGGGCTAACAATGGAAGCTCACACCGCTCCCTGGATTCGAACCTGTGCCACTGGGAGCGCCATCCACACATATATACCTTTAAAATGCCAGCATCTGATTACCTTTATTTTTTTGAAGATCCACACATATACACCTTTTAAAAATAAAGGAAATCAGATGCTGGCAAAATGGAAATGAGTAGAATTTCATGGTGGGAAAGATTAGAGGACATCACATTTACCTGTCTCACTTCCCCACCCCAAACCCCATCTTCTAGCTCAACACTGAAGCCAAATCTGACTGGCGGCATATATAAAATAACCTATGTTTTCCAGAAAAGTGCAGAATACAAGGTCAATCTTTTAAACTTGGATTTAAGCCCTCAGAAGTGAAAAAGAACTGAATTAGATCAGAATCCTCAAGAACATAATGTCTTATGCCAGCACCAGATAGAAAGTGAGTACGATTTTTTTCACCCATGTATACAACTCTCTTGACAAAGTTGTGGTTGTTTATGGGTTGATCCAGACCAGTAGAAATAGTCATTTAGGACTGTAGGAGGATGTTTTTGATTTTACAGAATAATTGACTACAGTTGCTCTGTTGTTCAACTTCCCAAATGCGAAAACTCTTTGAGAGATAATATAATTGGTGAATATTAGTTATTTGTTCATCATGACTTGACTTTCTGGTATGGTGGGAGTAGCATTAGAAGTCACTACACAGTTGCTATGTCAGAGAAGCTAAGTCCTTGCCACCTTCCAGATGAATGGGGAAAATATATATCAATATCTACTACAAGAGTCAGGAAGCCTTTGGCTCTCCAGATGTTTTGGATGTTTAGTTTCAAAACTCCAACCAGCATGGTATGTGGTAAGGCATTGTAGAAATATATGTCTGAAAGATCTGAAGGGCTAAAAGTTTCCCACTTTTGATCTGCTAGACAATTTTCTGGCAATTTGTGGTAGTTCCACAAGTACTTCTTATTTCGGGTCATATAACACTTGTATTTAACACTTGACTGTGAACTCTGGGCTTTATTTTAATGTTCACAATACTTACTTACTTAGGCGATCTCTCATTGTCTGAGTAGGATAATCCTGCAGGGTGGGTCTGTAGGTGATCAAGAATAGATGCAGATCTATTCTTGATCTGCATTGTCTCCCGCAGTGAGGGCATTGGTTTCCAGGTGGAAGGTGGTACCGGTTGGGGTTGGCTTGATGCACCTTCCTCTTGGCACGTTTGTCTCACCCTCCATTCGCGCCTCCTCAAATTCTGCAGCACTGCTGGTCACAGCTGACCTCCAGCTGGAGCACTCACAGGCCAGGGCTTCCTAGTTCTCAGTGTCTATGCTGGAGTTTTTAAGGTTGACTTTGAGCCCATCTTTAAATCTCTTTTCCTGTTCACCAACATTCCATTTTCCGTTCTTGAGTTCGGAGTAGAGCAACTGCTTTGGGAGACGGTGGTCAGGCATCCAGGCAACGTGGCCAGTCCAGCGGAGTTGATGGCAGAGGACTATCACTTTAATTCTGGTGGTCTTTGCTTCTTCCAGCATGCTGACATTTGTTCGCTTTTTTCCGTAAGAGAGTTGCAGGATTTTCCGGAGGCAGCGCTGATGGAATCATTCTAGGAGTTGCATGTGACATCTGTAAACAGTCCACGTTTCGCAGGCATACAGCAGGGTTGGGAGGACAATAGCTTTATAAACAAGCACCTTGGTCTCCCTACGGATGTCCCGATCCTCAAACATTCTCTGCTTCATTTGGAAAAATGCTGCACTTGCAGAGATCAGGCGGTGTTGTATTTCGGTGTTGATGTTGACTTTGGTGGAGAAG